CCAGATTTGGTTATGAGAGATTGTTATTCTGGATTTTGTTCTTTCCCTTTGGGATATTATGTATTTTTGTATTATCCTATGATGGATTACATGCATTGAATTGTATTGAAGTCTCTTTTCTATTGCTCTTGGGTGGGTTGGTCAGTACACAGTTGTTATTTGTTGGTTTTTCTTGGTCATTGTTTACTGTGGACTGTATTGTTGTTGTTGCAGTGAGTTCCAGTCAAACTGCCTAGGAGCCTGTAATTGCCTGAGCCTGCATGACATGTTTATGCCATCTTGGTTACTAATCACTGAGTGCACTTTATTCGGCAATCGTTGATTGTTTAAATGTTTTAAATGTTTTAACAGTGTTAAATGTTTTAAGTTTTAAATGTTTTAACTGTATATGAATCTTGGCACACTGTGCCAGGCAATGTGAGCCGCCCTGAGCCCAACAAATAAATAAATAAATAAATAAATAAACTGAACCTGATTTCTTCTTTCAGATGGTTAGGAGGGAGGCTGTGAGAACTATCCTTCACACTGGAGGCCTGCTTCTGAGAGACTACAGCTGGATCAGCTTCAACAAGGAAACAGTACTTCTGGGATACTAACTACTAACCTTTGGCTTGGGAAGGGAAAGGAGTTGGGAGGTGGGGAGTACCATGCCCTGTGTACAAAATTGCATTTTCCCTGTTGTAATAAACAGATACTTTGCTTAAACCAAGGTGTGTGTCGGAGGGGGCGCTTTAAGAAAGGAGGCCCTAAGCGCCTTGAACTTGCCCTTATTTCCAACGCCTAGGTTTACATATATGTTTAGGATGCGTTCAGATCACAAATAAATCTCAGTGACTTCTGTACCAGCCACAGGCCTGGTTAAACATTAGCTAGCTTGCACATGCTTTGCTTTCTCCCCTCACAGAATCTACTGAAATTGTCGATGGAGACCTCTATTTAACTACTACTATTTGTGATGTTCCAATATGAGCAGCAGCAAAGGTTGCTTTCCTAACTGGTAACTGGGATTTTCCAATACGTTCCCATATGATGTTCTAATAGGAACACTGGTGAAGGGTAGTTTCCTTCCTGGTAACTGGGATTTCTAGGCATGGTTTAATCCTGGGTCCTAGTTACAAGAAAGGAAAACAAACCACAATTTATTCAGGTGTCCATTGCCACATATGAACAACTGGAAAGAGCGAAAGACTTCTCTCAGCAATCGGAACACACTGCACAAGGGGGCGATAGCAGAGCAAGTCAGTCAAAGAGGTAACAAGAGTCATACCAGTCATCAATGCCAGGTTGATCCATGACATCTGAATGCAACCTGAGTGTACTTTTGTTTCTCAGGCTGTAGAAAGGAGCAGTGAAGTGAGCAGGGACTCACAGAAGCTCATACCCTGCCACAAATTCCGTTAGTCATTGAGGTGCTACTGGAATCTTGCTCTTTTCTACTGCTACAGACAGACTAACACAGCTACTCAGCTTGATCTACCTTCTCCTTTTATAAACCACTTTTCTTCTAAGTGAGGACACACTAAAACTAAGGAGAGCAACTGGCAATAGACAGTACATGATTGCAAATACAGAATGCACATGTTCTTTTAAGGGCGCCCAAGGAAATTAACAATTCACATTATTAAAAGGTCACCATTTTTTTTTCCTGTCAAGCCATGACCCCCCATAGCCGTTTTCAAAGCAAGAGATGTTTAGAGGTGGTTTGCCACTGCCTGCCTCCGCATCACGATCCTGCTATTCCTTGGGGGTCACTGGTCACCCATCTATATACTAGCCAGGGTTAACCCTGCTTAACTTCCGAGATCTGATGAGATCGGGCTAGCCTGGACTATCCACATAAGGAAAAAAGCACATTCACACATTCACACAGTAGTTTATAACAAGCCAAACAGACAAATCACAGCAGAGCAACAAATCAATAAAAACCAAGCTGCAAGATGAGGATTATGTGAAGAGAAGTTATAAACATCTATATTTGGACTGTTTTCTCCGAGATGCCACACTGTAGCTACAGGCCTGAGCTAGAAGAAGCCCAGGAGAAAAGGCCACAACACACCCACGCAAAAACGATCCACGACGTTCTTGCACCTCCCTGACGTAACCAACTCCCTGACCGGGATCACCCGCAAAGGCATCATGCAGCCCAGAAACGCCACCAAGGCCTCCGCGGAACGACCACGCAAGTCAAAAGCACCCGCCGCCCCCCGCCCAGCCACTCACCTGAGCGAGCTCCGACTCTTCGCTTCACCGAAAAAACACTGTTGACCAGCGCGGCCTCTGAAATACTTTTCCCCTCATTGGCCGCGAAAATATGCGTTCGCCTCTCCGATTGGCTATCGCGAGGTATTTCGTCATGGGCAGGTATCTGTCGAGACCGAAGCAGAAGAGGCCTCGCGAGCTACCATTGGCTGAAGGGATGGAGTGAGAATAGTGAGATCCCGGTAGAGAGCCAATAGTCTAGAGCAGTGGCTCGATGACGAAAGGCTCGTGGATGCGAGGTTCTCCGAGGCGGAAGGTTGCCATAGAAATAACTAAAGCTTACTTATCTCTCCCGCGCCTCCTTCTGTTTTGCGTAAATTTGTTCGGGATGAAGTTCCAATGAACTTTTTGGCCGGTTGCAGGCAGACTTTGCGTATCCTTACTCAAAAGTAAATTCTGAGCTCTCTCATTTAAGCTAACAGGATTTTTAAACAAAGACGTGTAGGAATTGCAAACTATTGAATTCAACAGGACTTTTAAGCAAGTCTGCACATGATTGCTATCTTAGTGATAGCAACCAAGAGAGTTTCCCAGGTTTTTCTTTTAAATCAGGGAATAAGGCGATCATTACATTGCACAATTTAAAAAATCCCCCAAATGCTGCCTAGCATCCAGTTTGCCATATTTTAACCCCACCCTTTTCCCCTCCTCCCTTCCCCCCCCCCCCCATAAAAGTTCTGACAGGTGGATTAGTCTATTACACTACGTTTCTATCCCTGACCCATGATCCCCTAAAGCAAACCGTCCTGTATCTAAAGCAGCTTCCTCAGATGCCTGTTCTGTATTTCCTTGAACATCTCCAAAGGAATAAGAACACACAGCAAGGCCAAGCAGCTTCTTCTGCAACTAAACTGCTATTTGTTAAAAGTTCCTGGTGTTTAAGCCAAATCCATTTCTATGTAAATTAAAAGTAGCAGCATTTTGTCTTCATACAAGGCAAGATGAACCAATTGTTCTGTCTACTCTGTATACCTACAAGGTACTTGCAAACTAGTAGCACTTCACCCTGCAAGCTTTCTCCCCTCCCCCCCCGCCCAAAACATACACAGTTCCTTCTATCAGACTTCCCAAACATGGTCATGCTCTTAAGAATCCAACAGTACCAGAGCAGGCAAAGAGAAGTGGGTGTCTTCCCTGTTTCCCATGACAGGTGCCTTAATTAAAAACTAGTTCCAAACAAACTTTAAGAAAAAACAAATATGCAAAGTTTTATTAAAGAAAATACGTCAAAATGACAATAATTTTGGTCATATTTAAAGCATCCAGGAATCAAAATGCCATTTCTTTACAAACATGTTCACATACAGTGTGTAGTCTTCAGTAGTAGCTAGAATGACACTGAACGTTTTAAATGCCATGCAAGTAAAACAGAGCTCCATACATTCATTAAAAACCTGTAGTTATGGTCATGCTGAATATTAAACTTAATGACAGTATACATCAAAACCATAACAAAAAAGAATTTTAGTAAACAAAGATAATTAGTAAACTTAAAACATTTTGGCATTATACTTATTTCAGGAGCACTGTATCTTTTCTGTAAGTGGCATTATTGTTAAAGCATCAAGTAATATCAAAATATACACTTCTATTTTACAACATAGTACTGGCATACTTCAAAGTACTGTCCCAATTATAAACAGAATCATGATGTTTCAAACAGGTATAAAGGAAAGCTACTTGCACATTTAATATGCACACAATAGTTATGTAACCAAAGAGGATTTATATATATAAAAAAAGCAACCAGGTTCTCATGCCACTTTGTAGTATTGAGCAAGGATTCAACACTTCTTCTGAAAACCTGCAGTTCATGGATATTTCTCTTTTTCTTTGGAAAAAAAGACAGGACAAACCACTTTATCTTTCACGTTAAAAAAATCTAGATTCATTTTAAAATCCAGATTTTAAAAAATCCAGATTCAACCATGACAGACATGATTGGTTCCTAAGAAAGGAATTTTGCCCAGAGATCCAACAAATAAGAACTGTGGTCCATATATCTTTGCTACATCTCAATCAGATGTGGCTTAATGTCAAATAAAGCATTATTGCACATTGCTTCAATCTAGAATAATCTTCATTTTCATCCTTAATAGTAGGAGATCACAGCTTCCAACATGCTCAATGTGCAGCTATAACGAGAAGTGCTTTGATGCTTATTCACTTCAATAACTTTTGCTGAAGCTTGCTTCTAGTGCACAATCAAGGTAAAATATCTCTCCAACTCACAATGGTTTGTCAATAACAGTTACACCTAGAAACAGAGAAATAAAAGACAAATGAACAATGGAGTTACTGCATTACCTAAATGTAGGCAACCACACTCCAAATTCACTCAGTTATACAAGACTTGCATTCTTTTTCAGTGCAATATTTCTAAATGGTTGGTCTACTAAAGTGTGTGAAAAGGTTAAAAAGTGCTGTGCAGGGATTGCAATTTGAAAGAGTGGAATTGCCATGTTGATTTGGCTCAGTTATCAGAATGGGCCAATCAGCAGGTGCATGAGTTACATTAAAACAACATAAAAAGGCCAATCCTAATTCTTAACCTCTATTAAAAAGCAGCTAATCTAACTTTCTGTAACTGTTTCAATTAACTGTCAAACACATGACAGGTTACTTAAAAGCTCTCTTATTACATGTTGCCTATTGGAAAGGATAACCTGTTACAGGGTGTTCTGATTCCATTCATTTTTGGCACTGCAACTTTCATCATTATTTTGGAGTTGGTGGCTAGTTTTTAAATGTTTGGCACTATTTTCCTGAGGAATTATGTCTGTCACAAACAGAGACCACAAGCCTCTATTGCAAACAGCAAGATGGGACCTGTCTTGAGATAACCTGTGCCAGGATATTCCCTTGCCTTTCATTTTTGGTCCCGGAACTCCCACAATCATCCTGAAGTTGGTGGCTAGGAGACAATTCTAAGTCTCCTAGCTTTATTCTCTGATGAGTTATGCCTGCCACAAATGGTCCCTCTTGGCAGTCGGTGGGGGGTGGGCTTACCGGGAGCAGGAAGTCTCACCTCTTATTTCAGCAACATCCCAAACACGACTTCCAACATGACCTGGAAGCAGTGTTCCCTCTAAGATGAGTTAGTGTGAGCTAGCTCACAGATTTTAGCCCCCGGCTCACACATTTTTGTCTTAGCTCAGGAAGGATGGCTCCAGAGCAAATTAATTTATGCAGTAGCCAAATCGCTCGCTCACAACTTTAATGCCAGTAGCTCACAAAGTAGAATTTTTGCTCACAAGACTCCACAGCTTAGAGGGAGCATTGCCTGGAAGTGACATAGGCACATCAGGGCAACGCTCTGGTTTTTGGGCAAAAACTCTATGTTAGAATTAGCTTGAAGTCATGTTGATGATGTCGCTAAAACGCGGGTGAGACTCCCTTTTTTTTTTGCAGTACTCCCCCACCGCCAGGCAGCTGATCGGCAGGGGAGAGGAGGGGCTGGGAGCAGGGGACCCTCCACACCCATTGGGGGTTCTAGCATCCCTAGAACAGTCTAATTCTTTTATTATTAGAGATTTATGGTTAATAGCAAGCCAAGTGATTTGTTGTGTTATGGATCAGGGTCACATGAGAGGGGCAAATGGAATCTTTGTCTAGGGGCTCATGGTGGCTCTGAGGAGCCCTGCTCACCTCCAAAAACAGGAGCACAGAAAGCAGAGTCTGAGAGGTGGATCTTAACAAGTGGGCAAGATAGTATGGACGGCAAAGGATGAGATGGTTAGACAGTGTCATAGATGCAATGAACATGAAATTAAGCCAACTTCAGAGGACGACGGAAGACAGGAAGGCCTGGCGAGATCTGGTCCATGGGGTCGCGAAGAGTCGGACTCGACTGTGCGACTGAACAACAACAACAAAGATAGTATGGATAGTATGGCAGGAGACAGTCCAGGGACCCTGGCCCAAGCCATTTACGGCCTTAATGGTTTTTCCCCTAAACATATTCTCCTAACACCTGAGCTGTTCAAAACTGTGCTGCCCTCCAGGACACAGAATAATAACATTAGTACAATGAAGAGCCATCTTTCAAAGAATTTTTTTTTACTGACAGTTAACAGATCATAAACACAGCACACACATGTAAGCATAAAAATATATATATTGGTTGTACAGAAGCACAGCCTCCAAGTGTTACTAACAGCTTAATGACAAACAGAAATTTGGTAGGGGAAGTTTGATAGCTGCACAGCCATTTAGTATAGGAGCCTTGATCAAAAAGAAGTAAACTCAATGAGGATGCCATCCTGGGATTTGCTGGAGAGGATAAAATTATAGGATTAGAACAAAAAAGAAGCAATCCAGTGCTGCAGGCATGAAGATGATGACCCTCTTCCACTGCACCTACCACTGAACCATTTTTTACAAGCCAGCTAACCACAAGATGAGACATTGGGCGCTTTCTCACACACTAAATAACACTAAATAACACATTTTCAATCCACTTTCAATGCACTTTGCAACTGGATTTTACTGTATGAAGTGACAAAATCCACTTGCAAATGGTTGCTGAAGTGGACTGAAACTGCATTATTTAGCATGTGTGAAAGTGCACGTATATATTTTGTTTCAATATTTATTACAACTTAGTGTTTTACCAGATTTCTGCAAGGCTAGATTGTTGTTAGAAAGCCTTCATTTCTAGCCCTGCTCCCAATCTTGACCCAGGGCACAGCTTCTGTTATCCCTGGCTTTGTGAAGGCCAACAAACAGAATTTGGCCCATTACCACACAATGAAGACAGGAGAACCAGCAGAGTGAGCAGGCCATACCTAATTTCACACTGAGACCAACAGATGTTCTGGAGAGAAACTGAGCTTTACACGCTATTGGGCTATCAGACCATTAATCAAAGCTCCTCAGCATTCAACCAGCATACTCATATTAGCATTTCCCATAATATCATTAAAGCTTTAACTACATGCAAAAAAATAGGAGCTGCAGTGGCTCAAGTGTTTAAGACGCTGAACTGCAGGCTGTGGAAGGTCAGTAGTTCAGCAGTTCGAGACCCGAGTTGCCGCATGACGGCTCCTGCCAACCTAGCAGTTCGAAAGCAAGAAATTGCAAGTAGATAAATAGGTACCGCTTCGGTGGGAAGGTAACAGCGTTCCGTGCACCTTGGTGTTTAGTCATGCTGGCCACATGACCACGGAAACGCCTTTGGACAGCGCTGGCTCTTCGACTTTGAAACGGAGATGAGCACCGCAACCCTAGAGTCGGATTCGACTGGCTTTCGAGCAAGGGAACCTTTACCTTTTTACATGCAAAAAACAAAAACAAAAAACCGCACCCAAACCCCAGATTTCCCATATCAAAATGGAACTGCTTCCACTTCCCCACCAGGATGCATCTGTTCTTCTTCCTTCTTTGCAAATTTCCAAGACCTTTAACTGTGCCCTCATCCCTTTTGGCCAGCCAGAAGATATACCTGGCTCACCTGCTGTTCTCTGTCCAAGCTTGAAAAGAAAGAACCTTTTGTTTTTTACTTGAGATTCTTGCACTATGTAAACCAAGCCTTTTCCTTGCAGTGTGGCCTTCAGGTGTGGAGTTGTTCCAATGTTCCATGCTGTTTCTCTTTTTAAAATGGCATATTAACATAAATATTGCCCTCTGGACAACATTCATCTAATCCACTGAAGAAAAGATTCCAGACAAAATAAAAATTGAAGTGCAATCCAAGGTTGGGTCCTCATGAACTTCCTACCATAAATCCCCTTTCTGTCCCCATACATCCCCCCCAAGGGATTTGGGGCCAATATTTACATGTCACACTCATACTGGAGAGGAACAACAAGCTCTCTATCACTTCCAGTCTTTTTCATCATTTATTCACTATTACCTGCATAGCTTCTTCCTGTACTCATACAGGATGATACAACTGTCCACTTATCTGTGGTTGGGTTATAGTACTCCACTGTTGCCAAGTTACAGGAACCATCATCTCCTCCAACTACATATAAGAGCCCATTCACAGCACAAACCCCTAAGGCAAAACAGGAAAAAAAGAGAAAATAGCACCATCAATTTGCTTTCTTAGCTAGCCAAAAGTGTCAGTGTTAAAGTCTATCTATGGGATCTGTTTATGACTCAGAGAGAGAGAGAGAGAGAGAAACATGCATGCCTTCCTCAAAGCACTGCAGCATTCAACCACTCACTAATTTTAAAAGTTGGATTAGCAAGCCTCCTCCACCCTTACATTTAAACAGAAAAACCTTTCATTGAATAAGCAACTTGTTCAGCACAGAAAGGCCTGGTGGAAATAAATTAAGATAAATTAAGTTACACAATAAGCTTAAATATTCAAACACTTTACTTGAAATATGGTGAAGTTGCACTTACTTTACAGTACTTGACTATTTTAAAACATTTACCTTTTGTATTAATTTGGAAGCACTCCAATGTACAAAAAGTTATTTATTTATATTTATTTATTATTGCATTTCTATCCCGCCCTCCCCGCAAACGGGCTCAGGGCAGCTCACAAACAAGGGCCAATATAAAACATTAAAACAGAATTAAAACAACCATAATTAACAATAATAAAGTGCTCAGTGATGTTCATCATTCAGATCGAATCAAGATGGTGACCTATAGATATTACCCAAGAGCCCGATTCAGCAGTACCAATCCATCGCAATACTGTGGCAAGATCTTTATAATGGGCCATCCCATTACCCCATTGTTACCAGAAAATATAGTTGTTGGTGGTGGTAATGGCAGCTTCTAGTTGAAAGCCTGGCGGAAGAGCTCTGTCTTGCAGGCCCTGCGGAACTGTGAGAGGTCCCGCAAGGCCCTGATCTCCTCTGGGAGCTCATTTCACCAGGTAGGAGCCGCCACTGAAAAGGCCCTGGCCCTGGTCACTGCAAGCCTGGCCACCCTGGGGCCTGGGATCACTAATCGATGTTGGGCCCCCGACCGTAGTACTCTCTGGGGTATGTATGGGGAAAGGTGGTCCCTCAGGTAAGTCGGACTCTGGCCATATAGGGCTTTAAAGGTAAGTACCAGCACCTTGAAGTGGATTTGGAAAGCTATTGGCAGCCACTGCAGCGCTTTCAGCACAGGCCAGATGTGCTCCCATCTAGGGAGACCCATCAGAAGCCTGGCCGCAGCATTCTGCACTAACTGCAGCTTCTGAATTTGCGACAAAGGCAGCCCCATGTAGAGAGCGTTATAGTAGTCTAATCTCGAGGTGACCATCACATGGATCACTGTAGCCAGGTCGTCGCGGTTGAGGAAGGGGACCAACTGCCGAATCAGCCGAAGGTGGTAAAAGGCCGAGCCGGCAGTGGCTGCCACCTGGGCCTCCATAGTTAAGGAGGGATCCAGGAGCACTCCCAAACACCTAACCTCCGACGCTGGCACCAAAGGTGCCCCGACAAAGATCGGGAGAGGGATCCCCGTCCCCAGACCACCCTGACTCAGGCACAGGACCTCCATCTTCACTGGATTTAGTTTCAGCCAGCTCAGTCTAAGCCAGCCAGCCACGGCTTGCAATGCCCGGTTCAGATCTTCTGGACTGGAGTCCGACCGGTCACCCAACATCAGATACTTACTTCTTCTTTGAGTATTAAGAACTTAACAAATGTGTGCCTTTATCATATGCTAAACAATGTAATACATCACTGTTTAAACAAGAATACTAATCTTGATATATACAAATTTGACAGAGCATGAAGAATATTAAGACTGCTCTCCAGTTATTACAGAATAATTGTGGCTTCTGTCTAAAAGCATATGTATTGCAAAGCTTATGAAACATAGGAAGGACAAAAGAAAAATGCTGAGGAGTATAATGAAGATGAAATGGCACAGATACAAGCTTAGGAGTTGTGCATGTTTAGCTTTATGAGCATGGGCATTTTACCCATGCCAGCGTTTTCAACACATCTTCAATCATCACATTTTCAGCCTCTCTGTAACTATGAGGAATAGTAACTCATTCAATAAGAATGAAGCTGTGTTCTCAGTGTTCAAAATGAAGACCCATATGCTACACAAATATACCTTTGGGTCTAAGTGTGCACTAGAGGTGTGCATAGCGGGATTTCTGAACTGAAAATCGACATGGAAATCACTGTTTCAGGTTGTTACAGTTGTTTCCTGGAATGGTATTCACAATCTGCAGTTCTTAGTGAAATGAAATAACCATCCCCCACAAAATTCATGTTGGTTTAGAATTTAGATGCTTACCAAGCTAGGAGGGGCATTTGTTCATCATGTTGTTCTTTGACTTCACTGGTTTCCCAGGCAACAGCATAACCAATTGGATCCATGCAAGGGAGGAGCACAGAGCACTTCCAACCAATCACTTTTGGCATTATCTTCAATGACTATTGCCCCAGGCCCTCAAATTGGCTGTCCATTGAAAAGAACAGTGTTTGCATTGCACACGTGTGGAAACTCATGTAACAGTAAAGCCCCTTTGTTGAATGTGCTTGAAATTTGGTGGGTCTTGAGGAGAGGGAGGAGTGCATTCTCTGCAAATTTGGCAGGATTATGTTTAGTGACTGCTGCCCCAGACCCTGGAACTGACTGTCCGTTCAAAAGAGTGATGACTGCAGGGGATGTACTAAAAGGAAAAACAGGCTGCTTACCTGTAACTGGTGTTCTTTGAGTGGTCATCTGTGCAGTCACAAAGCCCTTTTAACATCTAAAGTGTGTAGTACTCGCTCTGCATCCATTGTTGGTCTTGGGGGAAAAAACTGGGAGCACTATATTCTGCAACATGTGGAACTGTGACACTACTTTAGGCAAAAAGGATAGGTCCGGTCTCAAAGTCACTTTATCTGCACGGAAAACTCCCAATAAAAAAAAGAGGCACAACTGATGCCTTGCTGCGTGTCTCAGTATCGATCTCTGATGCCAGGAGTCAGCTTTCTCTTGGAAAAAGAGGCACAACTGATGCCTTGCTGCATGTCTCAGTATCGATCACTTCTCTGATGCCAGGAGTCAGCTTTCTCTTGCCCCTGAGACTGATATTTTAGATTCCAGTGTGCAGGCACGTCTACTGACATATTTTCAGTCTGCCCTTTGAAAGGGACGCTGCCAATGATCTTATCACCTTCTCTGGCAACTGACTGCTCACTTCCCAATCTTTCTAAATGACTTCCAGGACTGGTGTGACTGACAACCTGAGTGTCCTGTATTGGCACTGATCTTTGAGGTGCCACTGAAGTGTCAGTGGGTATAGATGGTTCCTCATGTTTTGATCTGTTCTTTCTTTTATTCTTTTTATGGTGCTAACTCCTACGAAGTGTGATGTTCAGCAGCCTCTGGTTTCTGCTTCTTAAGCTAAGTGGAGTTATTTGCACTAGAGCTCTGTTTCTGCTGATTAGAGTGGGAGTTGTTTGGATTGCTCTACACTGAAGCCACAGAATCTGATGTCATTGCTGGCATAGTGGGGACCATGGATAAGGATGCCACCACTTGATCTGCAGTAAGAGCTTTCTCACACAATGGTGTCTTTAGTCTGTTATCACAATTGTACCTAGCTTGTTTTGTAAACCTAAAGCAATGGTTGCAGAAGTTCACTATGTTCCTTCCCAAAACAAAAAAGGCAAAGGCTGTGTCTTGTCTGTGAATGGGATTTTTCCCTTGAAGTCAGAACAATTCTTAAATGTTGTGTGCTGCGCCATAAACATGCAGTTGACATCTAAGTATATTTGCTTTAATAGCATTTACATACATAGTTTGAAGAAACAGAGAATGAGAAAGTCCCTTTAGAGGCAGCTACTGCTGTAGCGGTTAAGGAAGAACTGACAGATGATCACAGCCTCACCCACTCTGGGCATGTGTGGTGAGTGGCTGTTGTGGGAGGGGAGGCTCACGCTCAAACGCTTTAAAGCTTTTATTGTTCTGAGGCTCTGTGCACACGCTTGAGATCCCATATGTGTGATAACAGAGAACAACAAGAAGAATGACAAGCCAGACCAATGGGAACAAAAGGATATGCCACTAGGCCCATTGGATATAAAGGGAGTCAGCTGCCTTGCATGGGCTCCACTGAAGAAGGCCCATTGGATATAGTCAGCTGCCTTGCATGGGCTCCACTGAAATACATTGCAGGACAAAAAATTGCAATAAAAACATGCAAAAGATTTGGAGAAACTTGCTCTTGGCCTTGAATGACACTCTCCAGAGTTGAATACAGTCCGTGGGACCAGGTATATTGCTCTAGGACTAGCAGGACAGCCCCCCACAGCAGAATGATGGTCCCTGGGAATAGCATAAGTGTTCTGGGATTGAAATGTCAGTCCCTGGAGAGTTAGGGTTGCACTCTGGCAGAGAGACTTAATGGCGATGAGAGCACTGATTCCAGCCCCGGGGACTCTCATCCTCTTTGGTGGACTATCCTTCCCATCACGGAACATTTTTGCTTCTCTCAGGGATCGTCTTCGAACTTCAGGGGCTGTCATTCCACTCCAAGAACACTGATTCCAGTCCCAGGGACAGTCATTCCACTCTGGGGCCAGTCATTCCGACCCCAGAACATTTATGCTGCTCCCAGGAATCATCATTCCACTCTGGGGGCTGTCATTCCAGTCCCAGATCAGCTTATCTGGTGCCAGGGAATGTCATTCCACTGTGGGGGCTGTCATTCTAGTCTCCACAACCGCACTTCTGAAATCAGTTCCACGGTTTGTTTGCAACTTTTGTGTGCTATTTCAATGGATCTCATTATATCCAATGGGCATTCAGGCATCACCCATTGTTCTCAATGGCATTCTTGTCATTTGCTTTAGTATACTGGCCATACCTTTAATGAGCACAGATTGTCCACTATGGAAGCAAGTGCTTTATTTACACTTTCTATTTCCAGCAGCTTTTGGAAGGTAATATTTACCTGCATTTCTCCTGCACATATTCATATCTGCAACTTGTTTCCATGTATTGACGGTGGGATCAAACACTTCAACACTTTTTCTAACTAGAGGACCATCATGACCACCTACTGCATACAAACAGTTGTTTAAGACACCAACACCTGCAAATAGAAAATATAAAACTAGTCAGTGTTAATTTGAAGTGTCCTCAATATCCACTTTTGGGGTGCTGTCAAGTTTGACAAGCCCTGCAGATCTGAAACACCACATCAAAGGGTGTTTTAATTTGTAACAAATCATGCACAGACAATTATTTCATATTAACAGATACCAGTTCATATTTACTATTTCCACATGCTTTGTTAAAGTGTTGTCAAAGTCTACTCTTCCTTACAACAGCCCTGAAAGGTAGGCCATTATTGCATATTGGGAGCTGGGACACAGGCTTTATAGCAAGGTGGAGACAAACTCTGAACCAGTGACATTCTGATTCATAACTTGGCTTCTTACAGTCCAATAACAAAACTTCGACAAATCATGGGCACTGCTAGTTGGTTTCTGGCAGCTGCTCTGCTGAGGGGAAGTATGTGACAAGATCTCCCCCAACCAGGTTTCGTTAGTTTAATTTATTCTATTTCTATCCTGCTCCATCTTCCACAAACAGGACTCAGGGCGGCATACAGCATATAATATACATAAAATAGTAATAATAAAATACATGGTAATATATAATAAATACATATAATACAATCAGATGGCATCATGTGTCTATCCCTCAATTGGCTGAGGTGATAAGCATACAATCTGCATTTCACTCATAAGGGGGTCTTTAGCTTGAAAAAGTAAAACGTGGGGGGGGGAACCCAGGAGGCTACTAATTTCTCCAACCACTGCTGTTCTCAACTGTATGCCCGGCGGAACATCTCACTGGCCTGATCCAGCATGGCTTCTCTTATGTTCTTATGATGTGGATCCCTGCCTACAACCAAGTTTCCTTTTCCCAGATACACCAGCATAAGGTTAAGATGCCATCCAAAGACTTTTAAAGGTGGAGTTTAGGATTATCCTGTTTGTTCTAACACACATTGGATGGCTTTTATCCTTACATACTATGTACACGCTGGATCTGCAGTGTAAAAGACTTGACTAACAAACACAATTCAACAAGAAAGAAAGGGCTGGATCCTAAGGAAGGGCAAGCAGAAGGATCTCATTAAGACCTATCCTCCCTAGCAGCTTGCCCCAAATAATCAGTCCTTGCAAGCCCCAAATAATCCTCTGCTGAGGGTTAAAGGGCCATCATACAAAATGCACTGTGGTACTGGGGGGATGGGGGCTGAAGAAAAGAGGAGGGAAGATTAGGCATATTTATCTTTTCCTCCACTGACAGAAGGGAGAGGATGATTTTAACAATTTCCCTCTCCTCACTGCAGTCCTCTGTTCTGTGGTACATTTGGGCATGTTCCCCTAACCCTCAGCAGAAGATTTTCCTGTCTCTCTGTGCTCTTTTGACTTTTATAATTGTAGGATCTAACCCAACGTTTCCAAGTTGAAAATTGAGGAATGGCATCCGAAGAACAGATAAAGGAGCGAGTCTGAAGTAAAATGGAATGCACAGGGGTATCCAAGAAATTGATTTCACTGCCCTTTACCTCTACATCTTCTTGAATTGATAGTTTCTACTCTTATTTGCATGCAATAATCAGGATGAAAGCTAATATTTAAGAATTCCATGCACATAGCCAAGAGTCGTGTGATACCTTATAGACAAACAGGTTCGTTATGCTATAAAGCTGTCATGAGCCAGAGTTCATTTTTTTCCAGAGGTATAACAAAATGAGTTCATACTCACAAAAGTTTATGCCAAAATAAATTCAGTCTGCTTTATGCTGTCATAAGACTCTGTCGCTCACTTCAAACATCATGCGGATCCACAGTTTAATTTTAAATAACTATAGTTAGTGTGACTGAATGCAGGTCTCTCCACCAACTATGGTTAGGTTAGTGTCCAAAGCAGAATCTGGAGTTCATTTATTAACTACAGTTAGTCTTAAGTATGATTTCACATTATGTCTGCATTCCGACATCCTTGCTGACTCCTGGTCTGTTTCAGTCTGTTTTGGTTGCTCACCTGCTCCACTACGCCTAGTGCCCATTTCTGCAATGTAGGTCCATTCATTTGTACTATAGTTGTAGCACTCCACTGTACTAAGGCACTGACGTGATGCACCATCATAGCCACCAACTGCATACAGCATACCTGAAAATAAAATTAGCAAATTCAGTACATCGGAATACATATGGGGAGAACAAGCTATCCTGATGTTCTAGACCAACTTACATCTGTTAACACTAAGGAGGATGAAAATTCAAAGATGATATATTACCACAATTTAACTGGCATATTTTAATTAAAAATGAGAGGCTGTCATGCAACTAACCTAAAACAACTGTATTAGCGCTCAGAATAACCAAATCCTTGCACATTTCAATTGACGGAAGGCCACTGCACTGATGCTATTTATTGGACACTAGTCAGCATTCACAGTACTGTAAACTACTTTTGTTGCCACATTTTTGTTTCTGTTAAAGAGTTTCCATTCAATAGCTTAAGCTGCTTCTGAGGGGTACGAATGATGTTGAAATTAAGATAGTGCCCAAAGCAGGTTAAAGGTGGAAAAGCTCAAGGATAACTTAAAAAATTGCTGAATGATCTTATTGTTGCATTGTTTTTATTCATACATAAGCAATGGCAAGAACTGCTTATATCTTGATTATAATCTCGGGAGCTGCTATGGAACCAATGTTTTTACCATTAGCAAGTCCCCCTCCGGTATACTGATACAGTCTTTGCTGGTGCATTAAGAATGACCTCTAATGCAATGAGGGCAAAATGTGTATTTCTTTCATCAAACCAGAGACCCCAAGAGTCTATTTGGAAGTGACTAAAATGATAGGGAAAGGATCAGAGAAAACATAAAATGTAGTCTGGTAGCCTCTGCATGTTGTTAGTTTGAACTGGAACAGTTATTTTAAGAGAAATACTAGTTTTACTGTACCACTCTGAGATATGGTACATTGGCTGCATCAGAAACATTAAACAAAGCAGCTATCAGTCACTATAATGTGCAGGCTGAAGTGTGCTAAACTAAGCATAGAAATCCTTCAGAAGAAAACCTGTATTATATTGATATTGAAACATTTACATCTTAGCATTTTATTTGTTAAAAACTGAAATAGACAAATTCCTGATAGTTGTAAGATAACCTTCAGCCATAATGCTAAGCTAAGTTCCTCCTTAGGAAGAAAAAAGAGGTAAAAGAAAGGAAACAAAAAGGGACACCAATCTGTCCTCCAGTTCTTCTCCAGTCAGACAACAATACAGCAGCTAGAGAAGCAGATGGACAAAATCATAATGAAAATTATTTCAGTACAGAGACTGAGTCTGCAGCAACTACTTTTAAGTGAAGCATGCATAGCCGTATGGATGTTTTTTGCACACTGCCAGTGGTTGTTGCAGAAGCTGGAAGAAGTGTTCTCAAGGTATCGCTTATCAAAAACTGCAAGCATTCTGTAAAGAGGTATGGTTACACCATCTAGCCATCTTGTTCACTAAGGGTGAACTTCCAAGAGAAATTGACTGGTGGGGGGAGGGACTAATTAATTATTATTAATCATTATTCTTAATACATTATTTATTAAATTTTGTCATGAAAAAGTCCAGAAAAATAAAGCTTAATCAAATAAAACTAATTAGCCTAATCTCTGCAGCCACATTGGCCCATTAGAATAAAAAAAATCAAGACACTGACAGATTGATCTCCTTTTAGTGAAAAAGCATTACAAAATAGTTAGCAAACTTGTAGGACTCTTGGGCTGGGTGTTATTATTAAACAAAAATAGCAAAGGCCAGCATTTTTCAGAAGTGCTGAATATGTAACAGAAATTTCAGAATTAAAACAAAATCAGTTCATAGCTCACGAGACTGTATATGTGGGATGAGAGATTGTGGTGCTGGTTTGGGGGGGCATGTTACAAGTTTGTATCAGGCCCCCCAAAAATGCTTGGGTCCTGGAATAACAACAGCAGGCTATCATTTGCCTATGCAAGGGGGCTTGAGCCACCATTATAGATTTTAATGCTCAACCGTAGTTCAGCACTGTATCTGAACCAAGCCAAAAATTCATGATTTTATCCCCCCTTTATGCTATATGAACACTTCCTATACTTTTTTATAGTCTAAAAATTTAAAGAATGCCAAAGTGGAAATAATAAATAAAAGTAAATTAAAACAGTTTCAATGAGGCTTCCCAATTTAAAGAACACAGTCACCTGTAAGACATGCAATACACTTCAAAAGAAACATCTAAAAGATTTGTTCTCATATTTTCTATTTATGGAAATCAGTTGTTTGAAATGCAAACATTATTTAGCAAAATAAATTATTGAATTTGTCATCTGAAGCTACTACAGTAGTTTGCTTCCAGAATGGGAATTACCAGTCTACTTTTTCAAATCACAAGGAAAACATTTAGCTTAATTATAATAAATCATCATCTTCAGGCAGCCATAAAGTGGCTAAAGAAGAAAATTAACGGCAAACAGCAGAGGGCACTCCTGCTCCTAACATAGTGTCTAAGGACAAGATGATATACTATACAAGAAGTATAATCAGGATTTGAACTTGCTCAAAAATCTAGGTCAGATGCACAACAGACTCAGGCTAGGAGACCTTACCTCCAACTACACCTACACCAACACTACTTCTCCTTGTATTCATTGGAGCCACATGAAACCACTCATTAGTCTTCATATTATAGGCTTCTACCGAGGATAAACCTGTCATAAAGCAATACAGAAAGCTAGATTTTATAAATAAATTGCCTACAGAAATTGCCAACAATTGCCTCCCCAGCTGACAAAGGGACCTTTGACTTTTGAAAGCTTATACCCCAAAAATCTTGTTGGTGACTAAGGTGCTTCTGGACTGGAATCTAGCTGTTCCACTGCAAACCAACATGGCTCCCCTCCTGAAACTGCCTACATTTCAGGTTTCCTATAAACTACCAATGGGAACTATGAACTATAACTTTCCCATTCATGAAATAAAGTGTATAATTAGCTAACAATGATGAATACTGGTCTTACTCAGCTGAAATATTGCTTGCGTACATGCATAGGAAAACCCACTCAGAATATTTTTATATGCAATTGCGGAGTACTAGTTTTGTTTTGCTGAAAATCGGGAGAAGGAAAAAGAGCAGAAAGAGGGACATTCAGAATAATTCAAATGCCATGGGATCTTTTATATTCTGAATTTAAAAAGAAGAGGAATAAATGCCTGTAGGTGACCGAAAAACAAAAACCCTTTCTGGAGAAAGAAAAGAACTCCCCAACGTTTTTAGAACATAAGCTGCTCAAGGGAAAAGACTAATTAAAATTATTGCTCCAATTGTAACAAAGACCTCCCCCCACAAAAGCCAATACAGCGTTACTAAAAGATGACACACCTGTGCTACCATCAAATCCTCCAACAGCATACAGAAGCCCATTTAATACAGCAGCTCCTAAAGTGCTTCTTCTGTCTTGCATATTAGCAACACTTGTCCATTGGTCCTTCACTGGATCGTATGAATCCACTGTGCGAACTCTCAAGGAACCATTGAAACCACCAACAGCAAAGACCAGACCTCCCATATAGACCACTCCTGAAAGAGAAGAACATTCCGTTTCCCCATCTGTATTTTCCATGTCTGCAAATCGTACATGAAAAGCAAAATGGCAAATGCACCTTCATTCACACATTACGGATTTCCACCTGTCCTTAACAGGAAGCCGTTGGTATGGATTCAAACATCAAAGTAGTATCAAAGTATCAAAAAAGTACCTGCTCTACATCTTCTGGAAGGTAGCTCAGCAACTTGGTGCCAACGTTCTTCTTTAAAATCATAACATTCCACACTGCGGATGGCCTTTGGCGCCTGTCCTCCAACCACCATCATCAGCTTCCAAGGAGCCAAAACCCAATAAGTAATCTCATTATTATTCACATGAATGGAACTAACTGAAGAGTTACTTTACATGAATAGTGAACTCACAAGTGAACATATTGGAAAGGTTATAAGGTATCCACCATTTCCCATCTCTAACACCATCCCCTCTAAAATGAATACTAGCAAGTAGTATAAGATGGCCAACTGCACCCAGCTGCAAGCACAAACATGCTGTAGCCATAGCCGAGCAAAAGTTCTCCTAGACCATCCTTCTTAACTGCCTAATATCCTCTCTCCCTCCCACAATTTTTTAAAGGCATACTGTTTTTGCTGGAGAATGGATTACAGAATGAGAGTTCACAGTAACCGATAAAAGAACCAAGGAGAGGCCACTTCCTTTTATATGGTATGTTACCAGGTATGGTGGGGAGAGGACATTATGTATATCATGTCCCGTATTTACGCAAAAGGAAGACACCCCTTTAAAAATGTTACATACACACAAAATTATTATTGCATGTGACTAACTCGTATGCAAATGTAAGATGATCCCACCTTTTTTTCCAGCATACCAGGGTGGGGGGAAACTAGTCTTGGATTTGAGTAAATACTGTTACGTAACTTGTATGGCATTACCAGCAACTCCTGCCTATGTTCGAACTAAGAACACCTTCAGGAATAAGCTGAAAAACAGTTGTCACGAGGAATGCAATCTCCATTATAGGTCTTAATTCATTTAAACATGCTATGATAAAATAGACTGGTTTGTGATGGGATAGCAGGGCAATCTACCCTTCAGTATAGTTTTATGCCATCATTTTAAATTATTCTGAAGCGATGCCCTAACGAAGTATTTTATTTAGAAGGCCATGTGAACTAATTCATCCATTACAGCATCTTCATTTCTCCACAGAATGCAACTTGAAAGGGCAATATACAAGTTAACTAACATGAGCCTTACTTTTGGGAGACTGGCAGGTGTTCTTAGCCTGGTCCGTGTACTCTTCATCAAAGCTCTTTGCTCAAGTGGCAATAAATGGTACTTCATTGCTTCAATGAGGTAATCCTTACATGCACTGCTGTTTTTAACTAGCGCTTCCTCTTCAACTCTCTGTGCATTAAACACATTGATATAGTGTTAGCACATTTTATAACAATAGATGTGCGTTGACTAATCTAAGTCATTGGAGACTTTAGCACCATTAAAGTCTTATGTCAGCTGTCTTGTAAAACACTAGCCCTTTGGATTTGGTCAGCGAGAACAGAGGAGGAGGAGGAGGAGGAGGAGGAGATTTTACCCAATTCTCTTTCTCATTGCACCCTCTCTCACTGCAGCTATTTGTCTGTGAGTGTTCTTCCTTGAGCAATGCCTTCTGTTTTCCAAATAATTAGAACCCAATTAAGAAATGCCAATGCTAAAAGAAAGAACCTGATGTGCTAAAAACTGGTACACAGAAGTGGCGCACAAAGTCATATCCTGACAATATGAAGTTTGATTTTACCTATCTTCTTCTATCACCTTAAGCATGGTATGATTTTTTTTCATAAAGACATTTTCCAGAATGTTTTTGGATGATATCATGGTAAGTTATACAAAAAAATTCAGAAAATTAAACTCAAGGGAATAAACATAATAATAAGCTATTGCAAAGCTGATAGTAAGATGCTCTTCTAAAATGTACCTCTAAACTACATGAATGCCTTTGGAGATACCAGAAGAAAAAATTCTATAGAAATTAAAGGAAATATGTACCCCGATAGCTTAGTTTACTGGGCACCTGCTTCTAGTATGGTTGTACATGGAGATATTTTTATCAAAAGTTGCTTCCTTGAGGCCAGCTCTGATGAGGGTTATTTTTTAGCTAGTTAGATTGGTGAATTTACACCTCCAAGTTAACAAAGCCTTCTCCTTTCCACTATTAAATATTTTGTAAAATGTCAAGGTCACCAAAAGAAGCAGAAACAAGACCAAAAAATAAATCAGAGTGTAATAAATATTACCAAATTACAGAACTACCTGAACCAACTAACACAGTTCTACAAGCAGAAAGGTAAAGAATACCACAGCTTTTATTGTAACAATGAATGTCCTCATCTACAGTTCAGTTTATCATATAGAATCATAGTCCTTGAAATGCTTACTTTTTACTTACCTGAACCAAATACTCTCGGGAGAGCAATGGCAGGCGGACGTGTTCCATGAGACGTGCCATAAGCTCTTGTCTCACATCTTTGTCATGGTTAACCCAAGCTATCACTGCTTCAAATACCTTTCAAAACAGAAAACGCACTGTGAGTTTTGCACAGTATCTGTCCGAGCAAACCTACACATTACGCATTTGTTAAACGCTACTACTGAAGTTGTACTCTGCCCCTGCTGAAATCTAGCATGGAGAGAGAGATATTTCTTACAAGAGCCGGTGTTAACAGGAGAAGCTAAAAACCCCTGCAGAACTGTGCCTACCCAAATCGCTTTGCTGTGGAGGTGAGAAAGGAGCCACAGAGGGTGGCACACATTAACCCCTTCCCAGCAGCCGCATTTAGCCTTTAAAGAAACTCTGCCTGCGATTTAGAGAAGATCAAGCATATAAGCTGCTTTTGTCATACACGCTGTGCTCATTCTGGCTGCTCTTCCCACCACTGCCTGCTTCTCGTAAGCCATCAGGAGGTAGAGAATCTGCCTGTCACTGCACTTTGTGGCAGTAGATTTTGTAAATTATTTTGTATGTTAAATATTATTTTTTGCCTCTCCTGGATTTACTACCCATGAATTTCACTGGGTAACCCCAAGTTCTACTGTTATGACAGAGTAAGGGGAAAAAATGACATTTGCTTTCTCTACTCTAGGTACAAGAGGTGCCTTCCTGGATCAGACCAGTGGTCCATCTAAAAAATGACCTTTGCTTTCTCTACGCTAGGTATAAGACGTGCCTTGCTGGATCAAGACCAGTGGTCCACCTTGTCCGGGATCTGTTTCACACAGTGGCCAGACAGTTGCCCTTGAAGGCCAATGAACCGGGCACAGAGGCCAGGACTTTCCCCAGTGTTGGCTCCTAGCACTGCTATTCAGAGATTTACTGCCTCAGGATGTGGAGATTCCCTTCCATGACCATGGGTCTTTTAAAATCCAGCGATGCTAATGGGTCACTATGCCCACTGGCAGTGAATACCATAATTTTATGCACTGGTCACATCCATGCTCACTGGCAGACAATTCCATAATTTTATGTATCCCTTTATTTTTTTTCTAAACAAGCAGTCCAAATGTTCTGGGGAGAGCATCCACCACCAGCCTACGTGAGGATCTTTTAAGAGTTAGAAGGGTGGGGAAGGTGAAGCAGCTGAAAGTTCTCCTGCACTGTATTGTGCGAAAAACCACTATTCAAAGAACAGTCTACCTCCCAGAGATACCTGCAGCAACTGATAAATCAAGGGAGTCTGCTTCTGTTGTCTAAACTAATCAGTGTGCTCCCCAGTCAGGAAAGCAGAATGTCAGTCTCAAAATAAGGAGAACTGTCAGTAAATCATTCTACCTACTGCGATTAAAGCTTTCACAGTTTATAGTACTATCAGTCAACTGATAAAGATTAAAGGTCTATACTTGGGAAGTATGATTCAGGCACTTAACTGGTAGACTTAGCCTTGAGATACTTTCATAACAGTACAAATTCTGAATAGCTGTTTTATGGAGCAACACAGTTTAAGATGTAATCACAGTGATCCTAAGTTTAAAATTTCAAGTAAAACCTAGGGATTGCCAAACTATGGTAAATTTTATCAACATAATAACTAACACCATAATTGTGTTATGGAGTTATATGCATCTTTTTTTTAAAAATGCAGCAATATTTTGGTTCCAATGTCTTATTGTAAGTAGAAGCAGAAAGGAAAACATGAAAAACTGTCCTATCCCTTTATTCTAACTATGATTGCTTTTGCTTAGTACCCCCAAAAAGGTATTTTTATTAATCATCTGCTAATCTACAAATACATGTTATCCATCAGTCAAAAGATAGACTTTTGGTCAACTCAAATATGTCTAGTTGATTGCCCTAATAAAAGACAGCACAGACACCATCCTAAAATCTCAAACATTAGAAGCCCTATTTGTTCATATTGGGTCTAAATGTAGTGCTCATGTGTTTTTCACTGAAGATAGAACTTTCTTCTTAGGTTAGTGGGTTTCTTACACTTATCATGAGCTGCTTTTCAAAGAACATTGTAATGCAAAAATCTGGTTGACTTTCTCAACTCTGCCAAGTGATTTGTTGGTTAAAAAACAGTAGTCCAATTTATGAGCTGCAAGACAGAAGCATCACTCTGTGTTTTTATTTTCCAGAAAATTAATGGATATGCTAAGCTTATTTGCCAAAACGCCTTTATTATTCAAGTTGCCTATTAGCATTCCACTGCATGCAATGGAGTCATCCCCATTAGTGAATAGCAAGATAAATAGACACTCATCTTAACCATAATGGCACTCTAGTAGATGCTTCCCAAAAGTTAAACTCAGCCTGAACATGGGGTAAAAAGAGAACGGCTGAGAATTTGATTATAAGTAGACGATGAAGTCATGCAACTCTGAAAGTAGGTTGAGCCGTAGGCTGACAGCATCAAAATGCTGCCAAGGCTTCCAAAAGTTGACTGCAATGCTGCACTCTTTGTAAAAAAAAACCCAAAAAACCTATAAACCTGCCCCACACAGGAATTGGACGTGTGGCAAAAACAAAACAAATTACAACAGCTTCTCCATATGCCCAAACCTGGCACATATTTTTTTAAACCTACATTGCAGCCCACATTCAGTGTCATGTGATCTTGCCTTATGGGAGCCTAAAAGTTTGTATAGCTAGCTGTATAATCGCTGAACTAAGAGTTTATTTTTTGTAACAGGTGTAGCTTTCCTCTTTATGATCAAACACATTTATGAAAATTGTTTAACTGGACTGCTAATTTAGAACTGCACAGACTTAAGTGTTAAAGAATCCCTAAAACGGCTTCCAATTTTTTGGAGGGGGAGATTACCTTTTCTTCTGATGAAATTGTGAGTTTGTCACTTGATATTAAGCTGCACACCTGTTCTACGCCGAGATTCAGAAATTCCTCACCAAGTACAACCTCAGTGAAGTGCTGTTCTGTTTGGAGGGAGGAAAAAAATGTCTTTAACATTTACCATCGCAATATAAGCAGAAGCAACAGAGGTATTACCCTCTTATATCAATTCATTAAACAGTTCTTCATTTTCTCTCAGCCAGCACAGCTGCTTGCTAAAACAAGCAATTCATGTACATGAAGGAGTTATGTATATTCTATAATATATGACCTGCTTACTACCTTGGCCTGCAGACTGCCTCCTTTTCCAATTTTTGTCTCAGTAGTAGAGTAGTACTGCGTGTTGCTCCCAAGATCAATTGCTGTTCTAGAAAGGTTTTTTTTACAGTTTTTGAAACAGGTTTTAGAGGACTGAGTGCCAATATGAAGGGACTGGGAGCCAACAGGTGTGGGAGGAATTGATGTTTTGATGTACTTGGATTCTGAGTGATTATACTCTTGTGTTAATATTGTTTACAACTTTAAAATTTGTAAGTAGCTTTGAGTTCTATGTTCAAGAAAAAATAACACATGACTATTCTAAATAAAGGAACTCTGCTTAGAAAACAGATCCTCTTTATTCTTTTTCACAATATACAGTGTAAGTAAGTATAGAAGGGGGGGAACAGTATAGGGAAAATGAAAGAGTAAAGAAGATTTCAAGAGGTTGCACTCAAAGATCTTTGAAGCTTTAGCAATGGTGGGAAGTAAGATTTTGAAGCAGAAAGTAAAATAGTTGATATCTACAGAGCAGGAAAAATGAAGGTTGATCCCAAACAGTGAAGGAGGTCCAATTTTGTAAGTGCTGATTAAGGTAACATACCTATCCATAATAGTGTTCCCACTAGCCTCCATGATACTAGTACCAACAATAACAATTTGAATTATTAGCAAGTCCCCCTTTTCACAGCACCTCATCCAATTCCTCCCCCTAGTCCATGTACCTAGGGCTGATGTCAATATACTTTAGGTAGGGAAGATGGCAAAGCCGAAGGATTTTGGTGTGGCCCACTGCATTGCCCCTGCTCCTGGCTGCACATGCTGCCAGGGCCACTGGGAGAGTGGTGTGCAGGTGGTGGAAGGGCTCACAAGCAAGTGGGGGGAAGGATGCATAGATGACTGGTGGGAGAGGGGCATATGGGCAGGGCCCCCCAAGGCACTCTCTGTCAAGGGCTTCTCAAAACCTGCAACTGGCTTTCCATCTACCCCCACACTACGGCAAGTATATTCTTTCAGGCTCCAAACAAATAGTAATCAGGAAAAACTAAGGCTTCTGAAAAGCCCATGTTGAGATCAGCTGCTTCTTTAGAATTTAAGCTGGTTACCTAGGAGATACTGTTAACCATTTGATACATATTCTTTTGTCAAGAAAGAAAGAATTACATTTATTATTCCGAATAATGAACCTGAAGTGATCATCCAGGGCCCAAACGCAATCTCTCACAGATTTGTTTATTATGGTATTAAGCCAGCATAAAACACAGCATAAAATATACCATAACCATCACCCAAAATCATTAAAAAGTTCAGATAAGAATATAATAAACTTATGCATAAGAAATTATAAATAACATTTCAATAATACATAGAAATATACCGCGTGAAAAGGGTTTTGACTGAAAGAAAAATAAAATAAATAAAAATAAAATAAGCCTTTTAAGACTTAAAATGTATAAACAGTATATATTATATTGGCTTGTGTTGCACTTTATGTTTCCTTACTTTCTTCAATGTTCTGTCGAGTTTTGCAGGCTGCTGCACAGAATTTCGCACACAGTGCAGTCACCTGCAGATTTTCTCCCAGAAGCAGGAACATATCCCAAGTTTCAACACCCAGGATTTCTATTGAGCAGGGGGGATATAAACTTTGCATGGTTCTTTTGATAAAAAGGGCAGTAGAGGAGGACATGTTCTGTAGTTTCTATCTCACCACTACCACAGGGACACAATCTTTCATTCAAAGGGATCTTTTTATATTGCCCCGCCACTACCGCTTTTGGGAGGGCTTGCCATCTAGTGAGAGTGAATGCCCTCGGATAGCTTGGAATCTCCAGCTGAAATAGATATTCCACTGGGATGACTGTATATCTGACTTGTTGTGATGGTAGAAAAGCTGGTGACCTCGCTACATCACACATATTCAAAATATGGCCTCCTTTATGGTGAATCGGATGGCCTGTCTATAGACACTCAATATGCCTTGCAAAATCCTATAGTAATATATATTTTCTTGTTTGAAGAATAATGATTTGTGAACTGTATACAGACTTCTATACAAGTAGAAAAAAGGGTTATTGCAGATTGATGTTATATATTGGTCCTCCTCAGAAGAAGACTTATGAAATGAATATATTATCTGGAAATTTCGACTTTGACTCTGGACCTTTTGACTTTGGACCCTTATTGTAGAAGAGAAGAAGAAGAGATTGGATTTATACCCCGCCCTTCACTACCCGAAGGAGTCTCAGAGCAGCTTACAGACTCCTTTCCCTTCCCCTCCCCACAACAAACACCCTGTGAGGTAGGTGGGGCTGAGAGAGGCTCTGACAGAAACTGCTCTTTTTCAAGAACAGCTGTGCCAGAACTATGGCTTGCCCAAGCTCATCCAGCAGGTGCAAGTGGAGGAGTGGGGAATCAAACGCGGTTCTCTCAGATCAGAGTCTGTGCATTTGACCACTGCACCAAAGAATAGTATACCATTTTGTATTTACATTGTATTAGAATACATATATATTTTGCAGCCTGTTCTTGTTTCATTCAGCACTTTTTACACAGCTTCCTTTGGTCTTTTTATAGTCTTAGTAGCTGTGGTTCTCTGGTCTTGTGCATAACACTGAGTCTAGAGACAGGCGATGCTGTTGTGCTGCTGGTGAGGAAGGAGGATGTGCACCGCATTTCACGTGATGATCCTCAGATCAACCTTGAGCTGTCTAGTCCTGAATATGGAGTCTAAGCCATCAGCATTATACTGTATGCCAAGACACAAAAAATGGAAAGCTCTCACCACCATAAGCTTTGTTCAAGTTTTAGGTACCTACAACATTATTTCTGAGGAAAAAAATCTTTGAAACAGATACAATTTCAGTGTTACTTGACTTTAGCCAACTCCAGGTTGCCAAGTCCACCTACGAAAACTCCTGGAGATTTGGGGGCAGTGACAGGGAAGAGGGGAGGGAGCTCAGGAGTGATGTGGTGCCACAGGATCTGCCCTGTGAAGCTGCCATTTTCTACAAGGGAACTGATCCCTGTAGTCTCGAGATCAGTTGTTATTCCAGGAGAAATCCAGGCCCCACCTTGAGGCTAACCTTATCTAGCTAGAAGACTTCCAAGGAGTTAATAATTCAGTGCTTGGATCATATTGAAAAAGCAATGATAAGTCTAAAAAGCACTGTATTCAATTGTTAATTATGTCTGGTGTCAGTGGTTACTGAGACTAAAGAATAGGGTGTTATCTACATGACTATGAGGAAAAAGGCTCACAAACTTCTGGAAAGTTGTCACCAAAAGATTTGTTTCCAGAAACATAACAGTCATAATTCTTTTTAGTTTCTGGTGAAAGCTGTAACAATTCATTAAGAAAAAATCCCAGTTGAGGCACAGAACACAAGAGGGCCCCTTCAAACTTCCAGCATATCGTAAATGTCAATGTGGAACCAACACATTCTTATTGAAATTCATCAAGGTGTACACATACTTGAACAGCAACTTGAGGTTTCATTCCCCAGTAGAAAAGGGGGATGCTAAAGACAAAAAGAGAATGCTTCATGGACTGGGACTGACAGGACCATCTCTGCCAGTATGTACTCACGTGGCAAACCCATTCATCAGACAAAGGCTTGCTGACCATCCCTTCCTGCACACAGGTTAAAACTCTGTCTGCTCAAAGGCATTCACTGTGGTTGCTTCTTCACTATAAAACAGCCTTCCTGAATGTGTCAGGAAGGCACCAACTTGTTACAGCCTGGGAAACTATTTGAGGCTGAACTTTAAGAGGACCTTTTTCCAGTGGACAGACTTCCGAAAGACACGTCAGCATTTCCAACAGCTGTGACTTCTTTAAAATTGATGTGTATTTAGTATGTTATTTTCATTGGAAGCCAATCTGAGTCTGTTACAAAAGACAGACAAGTTAAAAATTACTTCAGTAAAATCCCTTCTTTCATGACTTTGTCTCTCAGAACTTCAACCTGGCAGTTACTATTTCCTCTAGGCCTGTGATACCAATAAGAATCAAGACCAGCACTCCAGACCTATCGTTCATCATTTGCACTGTTGTAACATAATGACATAATGAAACAGGGACATAATGAAACAGGGAAAGTGTCTTTCCTCCCATCTTTCTGGCCCTCAACTTTTCAATCCTTTTGCTACCCTTGTTACTGGGACAGCAGAGTGCATAATGGTCAGGAACTATGAAAGAATACTAGAACTTTTGTACTTCTGAACTCTTTCATCAAGCTCCTACCGAGAATATGGGAATGGGGCAGAGATGCCAACTAAACTCATGAAGCTGCCTTATACGGAATCAAACCACTGATCTATATCAAGATCTACTATCTGCTCTGACTGGCAGTAACTCTCCAGGTTTTCAGTTCTTTCTCATCACCTGAGCCTTTTAACTGGAGACTGAATCTGGAACTTTCTGCATATAAAGAAGATGCCACAGCTCTTCCCCAGTGAGGCCGCTTTGTTTGCTGCCTTTCCTGACAGATCAAATCACTGGTCTGATACCCCCCTTTTCTCTCCAATAGGGACCCAAAGCCACTTACAACATCATTCTCCCCTCCTCCACATTGTCCGCACAACAACCCTTGGAAGTAGGTTAAGAGTGACTGGCCCAACATAACCCAATGAACGTCCATGGCAGAATGTCAATTCAACGCTGGATCTTCAGCAGTGTAACTGGTACTACTACATGGAATTATACTTTCTAAAGAAATAGTCATGAAGGTGTCAGAAGAAAATGGCTTAGTGTAAAACCACTCCTAAAAGGGTAGAATACAAAAATAACTTGTTCACCAAGAAACATACCTTTAAAAAAAAA